GCGGGCGGCCACTGGGTCTATTGGACATGGGGGAAGCTTCTGGCAGCTTCACACAGAAGCCACCCCTGTAGCCCCCCCCGCTGCCAAAACCTTGCCACACAAACCCAATACACAAGCCTACTACAACAGCAAAGAAACAAAAAGGAATGCAGACCACTAATTCAAATTTTATTCCAGTATTTATCTACAGACTTTGCATCCTTTCCTATTGGCTTCTTTCCTATGGAAAAGCATGTCTTTACGAGTTAATATTATTCAATTTGTTCTGACTTGTTTTCACTGTTTTTAAAAATATGCATCTGTAAAACATAGAGAGCTCGAATTAAGAAAAGCTACAATATTCCAGAATATAATTCAATTCAGACACTCCTGAGGGAAGCACGGTAACATCCCAAAAGATGTGGCAGATGAGTCAACACACAGAAGCTAATGAGCAGCTCACTCTTGACCCATATTACACAAATGGTATTCTCTAGAGACGGGTAGCAGAGGTCTAGCACGCTATAACCATGCCTCAGTCATGTTTAATTTGCTAGGTTATGACTCCCCACACACGGAGAGGCACAGAAGCACAACGGCTGGCAGGTGAACCCCAGTAGCTTTGTCAGGGAAGTTGAAAGAAAAGCCATGCCTTGCCCTGACACAAGGGCATGCCCCATGGACTGAGGGTGGCACCCACCAGGTGATTCCGCAGGAGAAGCTCTGTGGGTCACCTCACGGACTCAGGGTGTGGGGCTCTATGAGATGCATGGGAAGAGCATTCTGGAATTGTACAAGAGTTGTTAGAGGATGTTTAGGGGAGGAATCAAAGGCAGGGGAAGGGAGGGATCAAGGCAGTTTGGGAAGGAACAAGTATGGGAAAACAAAGGGATAAGGAAACAGAAGAAGCTGGACACACGCCAAAGAGGTTGCTGGCTGGTGCACCTGCCTGGCCATGCCCTACACCTGATCAGCACAGTCTGTCCTGTCTTCTCACTAAATGCTGTTTCTAACTCTTTCTGTGGGTGTGATTTCCAGTTTTCTGCACGCATGTGTGCATATGGGTTCCTGAGCGCAGCGACTGAAGCAGGACCGCAAGTCACTGTGACCCACGTGTCCATGGTGCCAGCAACCAGAGTGACAGCTGTTGCTTTTACACCAGCAAACATAAGGCTAGACTTACTGGCATGCAAGGTAAGTGGCCAGGGAGCCACGTGTGCATGCATCTCTGTCAGTGAGGCATGGGGTGGAGATGACTACTGGAGGGACCAGGAGGTCCAGGATGACTGCTGGAGAGATCGTGGGGACTGGAGGGCCACTGAGAGACCTAGGGGGGGAGGGGGTGCCTGTACATATATGTATGCACACATACATGCACACAGCCACACACACCTGAATGTATACACATACATATGTATCAGAATACATGTATGTATACACACACACATCCCCACTAACAGAGCTTCATCCTGCTCAGCCACAGAGGGGACAGGGTGCTGCAGCAGCTTTACCTCTACTGGGGTACCAGATCTGTAGACCCCTAACATCATTAAACTAAAGCTTTCAAATATTTAATCTTTTTTTTGGTGTGAATTCTTTGTTTTTAAAGATACATTAGAATCACTCCCTACCTATTGAACTTTATAAATCATAGCAAAGTTACTGGGCTCTACATTAACTTCTATGTTGTGGAAATGTATTAAGAGGAAGCAATTTGTTTTAATGCTACTGTTCTATTTAAAACACAAACAATGATTCTTTACATGAGCCTTGAAAATATACCACCTACTGCTGCTTCTCCAGTCCACAGACGGACACTGTATTTGAACAAAAGACAGATTAGAGTTTCTATCCTGCCCCCCGTTTTCCTATCTTTTTTCCTTCTTTTGGGAAGGCTGTCTAAAGCTGAACTGTCCTGTACTAGTACTTTCAACCAATCCACTTGAAATATCTGGATACGTAATTTGCTCTCTTTGACAGTCTTGAATAAGGGAAATAGCTTTAGTCGGTGAAGTGTAAAAGTCCTGACATTCAACCACTTATGTCACTTAAAACGCTGGAAAAAGTGAAAGTTCCTTAGGGAAACCGCACTAGTCAGAGCCTGGTCCCAGAATAAGGGAACGTGGTGGTGGACTATACCTTACAGTTATTAAGAGACAGCAGTTTCAAATTTTAAGAAGTGAAATAAGAGCATGCTTGAGATCACTTCCATAACTGAGTTAATTATTGTCTGAGCTGGATTTTTTAAAAATCCAAACAGCATTTGGACTATTAATTTTCTAAGCATCCTATTAATTTTCTAAGAACTTTGGGCTAAAAAAAAGGAAAAAACAAACATATTTATCAATTTGAAATTTCAGTTTTTACAACAGTCCATGCAGCTACATTAGGTAGCAGGTACCATGTTGTTCTAGTTACTAATGTGGATGTAGGGGGTGGGATGTCCTTAAATTGTGGTTGGCTTCACCTTGTGAAAGGTAAGAGTTTGGCTAATACCAACCCCAGAAAACTCCACATGCATAAGAATTTAACTGCATAAGAAGCAACCAGCCTGGCTCAATCCTGATGCGCAGGAATACATACACTTTTACTGCAACATGCCCAAGCAAAAAAAAAAAAAAAAAAAAAAAAAAATTACCCTGGTATCTTCAGTAAGATTTGGATCCAGCTATCTTAAAAAAAAAGGGCTTTGAAAAGACATGCTGTCTGCCCTTTAAATTAGTTGCTTATCTATGGATTGTTAACACCATGCTTTCTTTCTTTGACTACCAAGTAGAGAGAAATGATCAATTTGTCAGGGTAATGAACAGATTATCACTTATGCCAATCTACCAGTGGAAAATAGTGGTATTTGTAAGATCATGCATAAATGTGTTGGACCAAAACTTTGGACCTCAAATTGATACCTAGCATTAGAAAAATAGCCATTTAATATTTTTTCATAAGGCAAAGCAAGTTAAGGTTATATGAATAAAGACTGGAACGGGTGACTATTCACCACTTTTAAAATTCTGCTTACTTGAATCTGTTGAAATTTGGACATCTTTTGCTGATCCCTGTGTTGACCCATCGACATCATCATCTTCATCTGTGAAAACAGAAACATTTTAAGAAAGAATTCTTGTTAATTTGAATTGGGTAGCGGGGGAGGAAGTGTTTGTCATTTAAGGATGGTTTCCATCAAAGAAGCTAACACAAAAGAATCCAGTCAGAAAAGCACACTTTCTTCTTCTGTCTATTTTATGATTATAATCTATACTATAAAAACAGCATTAAAAAAAAGAAACCCGCATTGTCATGTAACTACTGGGAAGGCATACCTGAAGTCCTTCTACTATTAGCTTTAATACTGCAAGTACTGCATTTCACCCCTTTCTCAAGCTGCGATGTTTGCCTCTGACCAAAGTACCTATGGTTTCCACTAAGTTTTAAATCACCAAATCAGTCCAGGAATTGGAGTAACACCTTTCCAGTCAGAATTATGGGTATTATATAAATAATTTCCATAATTGAAAAATAGATTTGCTGACACCCAAAGAGAGAGAAATTACTGCACTCCAGAAGTGGACTTCGACAGCAGCTCATCGCTGTCACTAAAAGCTAGGAGCTAACATGTCAGACAAAAACACAGTCTGTAAAATCACACATAAAACACTTAGAAAAGATTAAAATAAAAGCTACTAACATTTACATTTGCTTCCATGAAGATAACATCCTGACTGCATTCTCATTCCTGACACTCACGCCCATACAGGAAGACTGGTGCAACTCCAAATGCGGTAAATTTTTCTTCTCTAAGGGTAGCAGTACAGTGCAACATAAGCCAAGCCAGTGTGCTGACTGCGTAACAGTATTCATACTCTCACCCATTGAAACTCCCAGTCAGTCTTGATATAGGATGCAGAAAAAGCTCCCAAAAGATAGAAGCCAGGCAACACCTTTATAAAAACTATGTCTTGCAGCTGAGGGAGAAAGCAAGAAATCAAAGCACAAAATAAGAGAGAAAAAATAAAACAAAATCAGTAAAGACAGATCTTCAGAGCAAAAGAGGTACTAGGGAAGTCAGAATCCTAATGCAGGAAAACTTTCCAAGAAGCGGAATCACAGCATGTCAAGAAAGGTACTTAGCAGAAGTCCTAAACTGGAGACCAGGTACTTACTAAATATTTGGGTAATGCTTCAACTGACTACAAGAAAGACCAACAATAGTGTTTCTTGGTTGGAGTTTGCAAAATATAAGAGAAGGGTTGAAATACTTTCCTTGTTATAGTTGACAGACACACAGATTAAGTTTCAAACTGGAAAGAAATTTAGACAATATGGTCTTGAAACACCCTGAAATAAATGGAAGCTGAATGCCTTCTGGAATTTCACTTCAGACAAAAATCAAATTAAAAAAAGAATAAGTAAATACAACAATAAAAAAAGGAAGAATTCTTGATTGCTCCCAACCCTCCCCTTTTTCTACATTTAGATGGGAAGAAGCTGACATCTTTCTTTTATTACTGTTTCTCCCTCAGTCTGTATAGTAGGGAAATCTACACTAACAGCATCTTGAAACTATTCCCAATGAAGTTCAATGACTTCTTTTGAAATATGCTAAGACAAGAGTCAGTTGGAGGAAGGGGAGATAGCTGCTCTACCATTGCTTCCCCTGGTAGTCCAAGAGTTTTGAAAAGCCACTTTCAGCATGGAGATATTCACTGAATGTTGGCCATGAAGCTTAGCATTTACTCAGTGGCAAAAGCTAATCCGGACAAATGCTGCCCAGTAGGTCAACAATGATGTGTGCATTTTCTGCCTAGGACAAGTCATCTGGCACTTCCCAACCATCAGCCTGGGAAGAACTGTGCCTGCAGCAGTTAACTCATCCAGTGACCGCCAACACTTCTTTGGTACCACAGACCGGTCTTTTCACAATCTTCTGAGCAATGCCCTTCATCAGCTGTGGCAACAGAAGAGCACCCTCTGTGCATGCCACGGTGTGAGGACTTCTGAACAAACATGCTTGCGCAACATGTCCCACAGAAGTGAGGACAGAAGTGCTGATTATCCTAAACAAAGCTGAAATGCTCCTTGCTCCCTGGAAACATCCCTAATGTGCAAGCAATCTTGAACGAGATCTGCCATCCCAAGCCTATGCCTCCCCCTGGAAAAGCAGCAGCAACTCTCAGGGCAGTTGTCCTGAGCTGCTCCGTGCTCAGAGGAGCTTCAAACACGTCCTGAAGAGTGTCAGTGACCTGCTGGACCCATGACACATCTTGGTAACTTTCGGCACATGCCAGGACCTAGTGGGTTTTTGAAAGAAAATGCAGATCTGTTCTGTGAACATGGGTAACAAGAAGGACTACCAGGCCAGCGCACTGAGCTCCCTCAAAGCAGGATGATGTGAGAATTAGTTTAAGGCAATTCCCAGCTCTGCCTTTAAGGAAGAATTTGGGCAGAGGGAAAGACCTGTGTAGCGATGGTATTCAGTGCCTTTGGCAGAGACCTGAAGACAGCTGATCTCCAGCAGATGACTGAGAGCGACAAAACACCAGCAACAGGTCTTAAAGCAAGCCTCCTTAGGATATGAATGGCGTAAGAAGGAGCCACGCGTGAAGGCACCGGACTTGTACCTGAACATCAGAGACCTAGGTGCTAAAACAAGTGTCGCATACCATCATCGCCTAAGGAAAATCAGAACAAAACACCTTATGCACAGCAGACTGCAAGGCAGGTACCACGCTGCAAATATTATTCTCCATGCCTTGTGCTGAGCCACAACTGTGGCCCACTGACCATGAAAAAAGGAAGATGTTAAGTGCTGGGGGAAGCCATCGAGTACAGAGGTACACCTGGGACCAGCAGCAGGAGGAAAGGGGAGCATCCCCACTGCTGGGCCCCTGCTCCCCTGGGTGTCAGCAGCCCCTCCACCCTGGGAGGCCACTGCCCACCACGCGACGGGGAGCTGAGCCCAAGGAACAGAAATTCTCACAGACCGGCAGAAAAGAGATCTGGTGTTAGAAAAGAGATTTTTTCAGGGGGCTGCTGTATTTTATCTGGGTATAATGCAGGATAAACACTATAAAAACGCATTCTGGCTTTGCAAATGTGGTGGGTTTTCTTCCTTTTTCTTCATATCACATTAAAGCATGGGAAATGGTCCAAATTAACTTACTGAGTACTTCCCCTTCCCCATGCGTCTGTTTCTGACCACCAGCTAATGACTGATCTGCACTGCATTCTCTCAATTCAAAGTACAAGACATACATTATAATTAAAAAGGAATGCAAAAAACATTACTACTTCAAAAAAAACTTGAATATCCATAACATGAACTCATATACTTAGCATGTAGTCAAAGTCTTGAAATGGAAAACCTCCTCTTCCATCATGTAAAATAATGAAGGAAGAGACTAGAAGATGCAGCTGTAACCTTGGATTCTTTCACTCAAGGTGGTCTGTGTTCAACTTCTACTTGGAGATGATTTAAAAATTAAAAAGCAAAAAGTTTAAGTCTGATGTATTAAAAGAACACACCACTGTTTAAAAGACAAACTTAGTTAACATCAGAAAAGTCACACCCAAAGAGGCTATTTAAAAGGTTTGTGATTAACTTCTGTTAATAATAAAACAACTTTATCTTCACTGAAGGCATTGGGACACTTGTAGAATACCTAACAATAGACCTGAATCAAGGTTCATAACGAGCCTTCCAGCAAAACCAAGCTCATCCAGATTGATTGTTTCTGGTATTTCTTATGTTGGAAGCATTAAAAACCCCATGACTTTCAAGCATGTGCTGTACTTCACCTTCCCCTACCAACAAGCAAAATCATTATAAAGAAAAATAACTTGCTGAAAAAACATGCCAAACACCAAAAGCAACCTTCTCTCCCCCTTCACACTTTCATAGGTCACTTCAGCGTATTGAGGTTATGTAGACTTAGGGTCACACAGTTTACACAGTAGCAGGACGCCTGCTATAGCTTCTGCACATGAGAACGCATGACTCCTGCTAGCGATCAACTGCCTTCACCAAAACCAAACCTACATGTTCAAAGCAGAAAGTTCAAGAACAACCTGTCACGTTGAGAAAACCGTAGTGGCAAATATTTAAGTTCCGTGACCTATATTTTGCCTACCTTTTATTTGTTTTCCTGTTGTATTCAAGCACCAAAAGAAAGGCTTCACAAGAATATAATAATCAAAATATAAATTAGAAAATACTTCAGCAGCTTAAAAAAATTCTCTTGTTCCTAAAGAGCTGTTAAACAAACATACACTCTAGATGGCAGCAGAACATTACCCTGCTAAATACATGATCTCCTTTCAGCACAGAAATCTTAAAAGGGCAGATGCTTAATCAGAGGCAAATAAAAATGCCTGCATACATGATATGCCAAATATAAACCAACATGTATATCAGCAAGTGTTTGTAGCGGTGACAACACTAACCTGCTAAGCAAATTTTTGGATTTCAGGTTTTCACTTTCTGTATGCTTACTGTTTAAAGAACAGTTTTCAAATTGCCCTGCACCAGTAAACGGAAGTTTCAGCATTGTGCATGCAGTCTGCATTTAAAAATCTCTATCCTGTCCCAGAAATAGCAAGAAGTTATAGCATTGCCACAAAAGCCAGTGAAAATTAGTAATTGTGAATTACAATGCTAGGTTAAACATGTTCATCCATAAGTTGCATTCAACTTTGAAAGTTTTTACCTGGTTCTGTTTGTAAATTTTCTGATATTCGAAAACAATGCAGCTTGCTGAAGTTGCGAGAAAATAACTGCACACAGCTTGGAGGAAGAATCATATTCCTTAATCTTCCAAAAGTACATTCTGGTGTGACAATTATGTAGCAAGCAGCATGAGCCTATAAATAGAAGCATCAATTAACACTTAGTGAGACACAAGGACAGCAGATTTGTTTATAACAAAATATGCACTGGAACTGCAAAACTCAGGCTAGGACATATACAGACCTTTTGTAAATCACTTTCATGAAATGAGTGACCCATTTTTCACCCTAGATTTTCATTTGTTCCGTTCAGTTTTTATATAACCAATAATGCAAAGTCCTAACACGTGAAGAAACTCCAAGTACTACAAACTTGCTCTGTTAATAACTGAAGGTTTTTATACAGCTATGTGGAGAAGTTGAAAGTTTTGGCTCAAAACCTGGATCTTCTGTTCTATATGGATATTTACAGGGGGAGGTGGGAAAGGTAGGCAAGTTACACTGAATAGCTTGAAAACAGCAATATCCTCTTACACAGCTGTTCCCACTTGCAGATTCAGAGATAACACTGTTTGGAGTTTTATTCCAAAACACGACTGGCTAGTTTCCGCCTTTACACTTGTGCAAGATCTTCTGCCATTTTTGAATACACATACCTTTTTACATGTAGCCATGTAGCATGTTACATCTGTTAGACTGTTCTCAAAGACAGCCCCTCCCACCTCAGAAATTATGAATCACATCAAAAATACAAAACCCACAGTATTTTTAAAAAATTTTAAATTAGTCAAATCATACCTTAAATATTGAATAACCTCAGAGTTTCATTTTAAATTATTATTACATAGAGTACCTCATCTTGCATTAAGTGGCAAATAAATGATTTATTGCATAAACTTTTCAGTTCCCACCACATCTGGTGCTACTTTGCACTTCCATCATATTTCAATAAGAGGTAGCATTAAATGGATGGACCAATTGTTATCTACACAGCAGACTGTATATCAGTATGTGAAAAGCTGTGGCTTTCATGAGGATTATTGAAGGGTACCATCATGTTGCCAAAGAATGAAACATGCATCATGTGAACAGAAAAACACAGAAACCAATATTGACAGCTTAAAAAAACCCAACCACACAGGTTCTACACTGAAAGAGGAATAAGAATATTAGAATGGTAAGTCTTTGACCTGTCAGAATTCATGTGATTTGAAAGAAATTCTGATTTCACAAAGGAAAAGTGCAGGATTCTAAGCAGGAATCTACAATGATTAGTTCCTGTTAAATTTTAATTCCATTGGATTTACATAAAGTTTAACTGTGATTTTGAGAATTGCTCATTTTAATGACTGACTTGGAGGGGATTAAAAAAAATCAGATTTTCCATCTAACTCGTAAGTATATATATATATATTTATATAAATAAGTGTATAAATGAAGTGTATTTATGAAGTGTATATAAAGCATACTTATAAAATGTAGAAACAAAGTATATTTATATAAAGTGTTTAAATAAGCATGTGCTTATATACCTCTCTCTATATATGGTTCCCACAAATATATGCAACAGCACAACATACCAGGATGCCACACCATTCACATCTCATGCCAGAGAGCACCTCAGAAGAGCCACAGGTTTTTTTGCAGACTTCACAACGAGCACCTGAAGAAAGGTTTCCCTCCCTCCAGTGGTGGTGATAAGTATCCTGGGGGAACACATCATGACTTAGCGTTACACAAAACAGATACAGAAGCATCTTCAACCCAACTTTAAAACTAGCAATTCAAACAGCTCTGAGGAAACAGCAACACAGACTAGGACATTAAGTATACATGAGTATATATATAAACAATATACTAAAAAAAAAATCCTGAAAGGTCAGTATTATGCATGTATTTTACAGTGAGAAGCTGGGCAGTCTTGCGTCAGACAGACTGCAGGAAGCCTGAGGAACATGATAATGTTTCCCAGGGACACAATGCAGCCAACAGCTCAACATACAGAAAAAAAAGAGTTCCATGCTAGCTTCTACAACGCCAATTTTTAGATAAGGTGCTTGTTTTTTGTTTTGTTTTTTTTTCTCTTTTTAATTAGGACATTGTATACATTGCACAGACTTTTCAGCATGGCTTCAATAAGCATTGCAAATATGTCAGAATTTAAGTTCATCTCGCTATCTGCAATACATTCTGAAGCCACACGTTTCCTTTGCCTGCCAATAAGGAACAAAAGTGCTTTGACAACTGGCAGCATGCGAAAGAAAAGGCCAAGACTCCTCCCCCTCCTCTAGCCCATGTTTTCACAGCAAAAATGCGAAAACACGTGCCCACTTTCTGCTGCAGAGGTACCCACACTTACATGGCCCTGGTGCCCATCCTGGTGACACTGCCGGCAGTCACTGCAAGCAAACAGGATACAGTCTGTGTGCACATGTAGCTCACAAACTAAAAGCATGAAAACAAGAAAACTTCTTTAAGTTGGAAACCCTGGGTTTTTTGCAGCTCCTTCCTCCCTCCCTCCTTCTTTCTCTCCATCCCCCCAATACTCCTCCACTACCTTTTTGCACCATACTTTCTTTCTTTCATGCTCTTTTCTGTTCAGCAAAGATAGGCAATAAAAGAAGTTTATCAGTATCGTCCTGTCTGTTGCTCCATTTCCTTTGTGTTAAACTGATGCAGCAAGTACAAGGGAAGGCTGAGCTAATTTTGCTCCTAAGCACTTGCCATATTTCCTCCAATACAGCAAGTTAAATTTGTAAGAACTGTTTGGCTTTTACAGCTTTAGTCTCACAGTTTCACAGGAACCGCTGCCTACTCCCACTATAATCGTGCCTGAAGTCTACTTTGATTTAATGAAATGCATAAAAAGCTGAATGTTAGAAGCATTAACAGAAAGAAAGTTCTCCTTCTGCGTCCAAATACCACCAAGTCTTGAGTGTAAAGTAGTCATCATCTTGATGCAATACTCTGTTCCCTTTTCAAACCCTTTTCCAAACCCTACTGCAGAGCAAGCGGGTGTTTCACGAGTGGGTTCAAAACAGGAGACGCTTTTCTGCTGGACAGCCCCTCTCGCTATCCCTGCAGCCGTCAGAAGCACAAGGAAACAAGAGGCGAGGTGTGCTCGAGTCCCCAGCCCCAGCAAAGCAGGAGGCACCGCCGCCGAAACGGCAGCGAGGCAGCAGCGCAACCCCCCTGCCCAGCCTGGAGGGGAGCCCCGTCTCCCCCACGGTCCCGCGGGAGACGCGGCGGAGGTCGGGTCTGCCACCGACCCACGCCGCACGCCTGCGCTGGCGCGGGCTCGCTTGTGTTTGCGAAGTGATACGACACACGCCGACGTCACAACATGCGAAATGACAGGAGGACGTCAATCTTGGAGATTGCAACAGCCAGAAAGCGTGTTTTACTCAGGAAATAAATCCTTTTTTATTGCCAGATGACACTCAATGGAGTTAATTTGAAACCTGACCAGAATGAACTGGTATGTTAATCTCAGACATTTGTCCAAGCTATGTCTGCATACAGTAAATCACCATTTCATTGTCAGGAAAAGGAAAATAATTTTTTCAGTGCACTCTCCTAAGCAAGCTTAACACTCTCTTCCAAAATACCTGTTAGATACTGTAGCTGGAAGAAGTTTTAGTGAAGCCTGTAAAGTTTTAGGCAAGTTTGGTTTTGGATAAAGTATCTTCATTATTTAAAAGCTGACTTGAAGTATCAGATATGAAAGAAAAGAGAATATACACCAAAAACCCAGCTACAATGCTATGCTGCAAAGGATCAGTCATTAAGAAAAAAATACAACTAAAAGATCTCAGTACCTAGCTTCATTACTGCAAGAGTAAGGAAAGTTCTCTAGGGACCTCATAGACACAGATGGACGAAAAAGATCCTCCTCTAGCTGCTTTTAAAGACTTGTGTATACAAGTACTCTGGGAAAGCATCCGATTTTTCATCAAGTAAATGAAAGTAAGAGGCAAGCATCAAATTCTTCAAATATTTTTTTTCTGTTCTGCTCAAACACGTTATTGCTCCAAGCACATCAGAAAAATCTGAAGACTGTAAACTGAAGATTGTAAGGTGGCAACTGCATGTTAGCTACGTTGTCTGAAAACATCTTGAAAACAGTATTAAATTACATAGAGAATAATACCTCATTTTGAAATCACTCTCTGGGCTCTAGAAAAAGCGATCAACACTAATACTATCTTATTCTAACCCCGCAGAAGACCATGATCTATCACCACACCAAAGCAAAGCCTCTTTTAACAGGGCTTACTAAGTCAACCACAAGATTTTACGTACAGCTCCCCATACTGCATGCCTTCACTGAGCTCAAGAACATTCACATGAGGTGTGACACAGTCCCTCTTCCACTCACATTTCTCCGTTTTCATAGATATAACGGGAATATTTTGCAGTTTTGCCAATTCCGCTACCAGGCAAGCTAGATGCTTTGAGTCATAACCTCACTAATGGTAAAAATTTCTGTAGACCAAATTACAGCTTCAAGGAATTAACAAAAACATTGGGATTTTTATCATTAATTCTGTTAACAGAAGCACGATGGCCTTTGCTATGCTTTCTAAGAACACAGAGGGGGTTTTGCCCCTTGGTTTAATTCACATCTGCTGCTTCTAACACCAACCCCAACTCAGAATTAGTAAGAAAATGTGTGCGTGTGAAGGGCGGGAGTGTCACACAAGTTAAACCCTTAAGATAGCTAACCCACTGATAGGAAAGATGAAGTTTTTAGCATGTAAAGATCAAGACAAATCAGAGGGCCTACAACAAGAAGTTTCATCCTTATCAGCCCTTCCATAATCTACACAATTCTTTAACTCATAACAGAATGACAGTTTTCTGCTCAAGCTAGTCATGAAAGTGCTGTGCGTTCCTTTATAATTGCCAAAAACCCAAGTTGGTTAATTTCAGATACATAAACTTGGCAGAATAACCTTTAAAATGTTAACTGCCTCCCTCCCCAGTAAATTTGCTGCTCCTGGTTGATGCTTAATAAGAAACTTTTATAAAGGATCCAATACTAAAAAAAAAATATTTGGGTTACTCCCTGTCCTTTTTTTTTTTTCTTTCCATTGGGTTACTCCCTTTCCTTTTTTTTTTTTCTTTCCAGTCCTTCTCCTTGGAAACAAAAGAGAGAGCAACTCTCACCATCACGAGCTCAGGTTCAACTGTCACCAGTGAATTCTGCAGCAAAAATAGGTATCCAAAGCAATTAGTAATCGTCAGCCGAATTTGGAGTCCAAATATTATAATTTTTGGCAATGAAGTGTATGTACTTTTCTCATCAGGGGTTAACATACAAGCATGCTCATTTCTGAGAACAGATGCCCCATCATGCACCCACAGCATTTAGTACTTGTCTGAAAATTTTCATTTTCCTTTCAAGAAAATTTATTTTATTGTAAGGTATGAAGAATCCAAAACAAGTTAAATTATTTTCAAAGTACATCCATTTATGTCAATCATCTGCTTAGAAAAGGTATCTTCATCTTAACCCTGTTTTCTGTCTTAATTATGGCAAAGATTCCAGGAAAAGTTCTTTAAATTTCAGTATCAGAAGAGAACATCATAACCAACAGTAGACTTGTAATATTAAGCTAAGTCATTAGAAGTAAGCAAAAAAAGGAAGAAAGTTCAACATCTCCATCTGGATTTAAAAGCTCTACAGCTTAAAACAGCTGATTCCTAAAACAAATCCTGCAAGTATTTCTGAAGAGTAAAGGAGGAATCTTGTGCATTTTATGAACCTCAACTGCCCTTTTCAAGCTACATTTGGAAGCGTATCAGAGAAACAAGTTGTAGACTTACTGGTATTCAGAAAATGGGATAGCAAACAAGTCACACCACACAAAACAAGAAAACTGTTTAATCCATGTGAGGAACAGAATTCAGAACGTTCACTGAACCAGAAAAAAAAAATAAAATGTCCAGGCATTTGTAATACCTAAATATAACATTTGATTTCACATGTTTCTTGTTTAAGAACACTTAAATGGAAACGTCTGAAAAACTAAATATTCCCTCGCAATAGGTACAACACTAATACAGTAGAATTAAGAGAGTGAGAATATGAAAGCAAAATTTAGAAACCTTGAACTAAAACAGATCACTAAACTAAAGCTATTTTCAAGAGTTAAGAGGACATAGCTAGCGAAAATTTTCTTTTCAAATTCTCTGTTTATCTCATGCCAGACAAGTGCTGAGGCTTATTAAGACAGATCATCAGAAAAGACTCCATGGTATCTGTAGCGCTTTGACCATCCCACCAAATCATCCAACTCACGTGGTAACTATATTAAGTGACAGATTCCCACTAGTCAGAAGAACATAGTTTAGATTCATTATGCAACTCACCAGACAAAAGCAGAAACAAAAACACTGCACCGTTATAAGTCTAAATGCCCTAATCAAAGAGATATGTTTCCCCTACACATACACCCAGGCAACCATATTAAAGAAGACATTATCTTTAGCATAACAGCAATTTTGAAAGCATCTCAAATCCCTACAGAATTGGTTCTCCTCTCAGTAGACTCCGTCCTTTTTTTAAACAGTTCACAGGTAATAGTCCTTTAAAATACTAAATCCTCTTCAACCTCACATCATCAACTGAACAACAACTACTAGACATTCAAGACAGGGGAGACAAGGGAGAATTACAGAGTTGCCCCACGTCAAAATCAGTCAAGTACTCACCCCAACATGTATTTCAAACAAAAATTCTGGTGTTTGGGTGATTTCTTTAATTACTGTTTTTTCAGAGAATCCATGTCAGAACACTCAGAGCAGTACTATTTTGACAAATAATATTTTCAAATATCTTTCCATTGAAGGCACCTTATCCCCATTACAAGCAACAGATATCTGAGACCAGTAACACGGAAAAGTTATATTCCATTCTTTTGTAGAAAGGGGGAGGTTTTAGAAACATGAATACCTTATGATTCCCTGTATCAAAAGCTTCCATTGGAAACAGAAATAAATCACATCAAGAGCAGAAGTCCTTCTTTTGCCATAATAGCTTCTCATTCTTTGCACATCTCAGCCATGGATTCATTACACACCATCAACACCATAGACTTGCTCAAAGTAAATTGGAGGAAAGGTGAAAGAGCATACACTTGTGACAAAGTTTGTTGTTTATTGAAGGTTATTGATTTATTATTCCTTAATTTGAAGTACGCATTGCCACGATCAATGAGTGGATGATAAACAACCCAAAAACCTCTCAAACACAGTAAGTGCATATATACATATGTGTGTGTATACACACATACCCTCAAGGTATGCAGCGTAAGCAAAGTGTACGTTACTGGGTAACACACAGATGGCTATACAAGTAGGGTTTCTTAAGTTACCTTCACATCGAAAAGCGGGTGACTCTAGTGACTTTCTGCACACAGTGCAAAACTTTCTTTTGTAATGTCCTGGAGGCCCAAAACAGTGTGCAACTGGAACCTGCCAATGAAGAATGCGTAAGACATCATCAGCCAGAACTTTCAAAGTGCCAGTTACAATTCACAGAAACTACTTTATCATGCAAGACAGGACAGTATATACAATGTAAACTTAACGAAGACTGAGAACAAATATATAGGCAAATCATCCTTTTTTTTAAAAAAAAAATCATACTTAAAAATATATTTGAAATACTTTATTTTAAATAATTTTTAAAATCTTCTTTAAATTCTTGGATTTTAATGCATAATGTGTACACTTTTAAGTGCTGCTCAGCTTCTTGGTGATTCACAGTGCCACGAATCCAAAGGTTTCCTTTGGGTTCAGTGCTGTGCGACTTACTTGGCATCACAGTTCTTCTCCTAAGTATTCTTAATTGAATCAAGGATGATTAAAGAGTAATAGTTGCACATGTACCCAAAACACCCTAAAGACACAGTCAAGACAATTTTTAAAAGCTCAGTGCTGCCACAGTCCAGTACCCTCCACATGCCTTTCACCTCTTCTCCGAATACAGCCCAGCCAACGGGCTGACGAGGACAAAAGCATTGGTCTCCCCCCGCCCCCCGAAGCTTCAAAGCCTGGATGGTACAGAGATCCAGCTCTTGGAGTACATCCACACTGCGGTTCCTGTGGACTGTAGGTGGAAGATGATACATTCCAATACCGTCTTGCTAAGAGCTGTACCAAGAGTTTTAGCAAATGTATTTCTATTATGCTATTCACTTATCTGAAAAAGGTAGAGTTTTTTTCTTGTTTAGTGATTAATAATGAAGACTAGAAGTGACAGTACCAAAAGAACAACAGAAGAAAAGATGCAAAGTGAAGAATGAAAAGCATATTTGAGCTGTATACTTGTTCTAGAGACCACTCTTCCTACAAGACACACCTTTGTTAAATTGACATTCACATTAGAAGGAAAAAGCATAATTGCATCTATAAAATTCTAGAATCCAAAGTACTTCCATAAACCATTGCCATGACTTAAATATTTAGTATTATGCATCTCACATGCCCTTCCTGATACGACAAACATAGATTTATCTTCTGGTTTTTGCATCACAAAAAAAAAAAAAAAATATTTCTAGAAAAGGCTGATAAATGGTTATTTAGGTGTGAAATGAAATTAACCATTCCCAGTAAAAAGTTGGAAATAATGACTGCAGATACTCAGTCACGGATAGATTCTTTTCCTTCCAAATATACTAGTAAATCTTCCAAAGTTATTGAGCAGGATTTGAATTTTTCTCCTTGTATATTAGGGCTGTATATTAGGGTTTTCCTGGGAACCACTAGCAGCAAACTGGGAACACAGAATTTGATGACCCAGAAAAGTCACTTCCAGTTATAAATGTCTAGTTCCCACCAGTGTTTCTGCCTCTGAAAGCATGGGGACAGTTACACTAAACAATCCTGCACTTCAAGCATGCGCAATGAAAAAAATGAGATAAAGTTTTGCCAGATGTAACACAAGGAGAAAGGAACACTGCTGCAAGTTTAATCCAGAAAAATCACTCCCCCCCAGACTGCAAAGCGTATGGTTCCTCCAGTCCTCCTCAGAATTAATCTTTGGGAGGTAAAGGAGGATGAAGAGAGGTATGAAATACGCCTGTGTTATCGGATGTGAACAAGATCATGCACAGCAGCTGAGCGGTCAAGCAGAGTCACCAGCTGACTGCCCCAGCAGACCGCGTTGTCTGGAGGAACCCTTGGCCCCTGAGTGACCAGGAAGCTGCCTGTCCAGACCCCAGCCTCCTCACCACCCTGGGCTGCCAGCCAGCCTACCAAAAGGACTTCGTATCAGTATCTCCAACGTGATATCTTACAAAACATCCTTGCCTCCAAAAGCTTCAAATTTTTACTTTACGTACGAGTTCGGGATTTAAAAATACAGACAAACTATGCTTTGGGGTCCATCTCTTACTCTCATCAACCCAAATGGAAATTTCATTCTCTGCAGCTTGGCTTTTTTTTTTTTTTTTTTTTTTTTTTTTAAATCGGAATACTCTAGTCATATAATGCATGTTTATAAAAAGAATATAGATCCTTGGGGAAAAAAAATCCCGGAGAGCCTGAGGAACTTTAATAAAACTATCTCAGATTAAGTTCAAGGCTCATAATCCCTGCCCGCTTTTCTTGCACTTTCATGCTACTTCTTCAGGGGAAAGGAAAAAACCAAACCTCCCTGTACAGTAACATACAAGTTACCTGGCTCAGCTATTCTGGAGGTAATGTGCCCAAGGTGTTTTCTCGCTCTAGCTGCTCCAAAAATAAAAGTCCAGACTGGGTGGAAGAAGGCTACTTGCCCAAAGTTCACCCTACACAATGAGTTTGAGTGCAGAAGAGATAATGAGAATGGCTACGTGAGCAGAATCCCAGCCAGACACAGCAATTGCGAGGAGTACTGAAAAGCCCTGGTGGGATTTTTTTCAGGAAAGCTTTTCTGCACATCCCAACCTGTCTTGAGGTTTCAAGTGTCACCTTCAAGTCATCTGTCTGCCTACTCCCACCACAGCCCCAGGCACAGCAGAGCCAGCTGTCCCCAAGGCAGCAGTACTCCCCTTGAGATCAGACGCCGAGGAGACCTTCTTTAGCTCTGGAGTGGTGATTAACCTGCTTTAGACACCTAGCACGAGCATCTGATCCCCTCAAGAACTCGTGTTTGAAACACGGAGAACTTTTCTTTCCCTGGCCATGAGTCTGGCTATTTTACCTTATACCTGGCATAGAAATGCAGGCTTTTCATTACTGTCACAGAAAGGTTCTGCTGAAGGAAAAAGGGCACTCTGTAGATCAAAGGATCAAAGCAGACTTTTGTGAAAAAGTGTTTATTTTGGGAGAGAGTGTGAGAAAGGACTTTGACAGGAGTCAAACTTATTCAGGGTCTGACTGTACTTATCTAGAAGACTCAAGGGAAGAAACCAAGTCTAAATTCTGCAGTTGTTCAGACCCTGGTGACAATCCTCTGAAGTCTCAAGTCACTGCCAAAAAGAAGGGGACAACTTGCTGATTGAAATGTTCGGTGGGAAAAAAAAAAAGGGAGGGGGGGCAGAGAGAGTGAAAAAAATCTGTTCCTTCAACTTCTTCCTTTCTGAAACAAGCCAAAGAAATTTTGTTTGTTATGAGTGGTCTTTCTAACTTGCTTTAGAAGTGACAGGTATAAAACCATTGCAGAGCTGGGTGGGAAATGCGATGGGAATAAGATGAAAAAAGAGAAAACATAAAAGAGCAAGTACAACATAACGAACTCATCCATCACGTTTCTCCCAGCAGCTCCCTACATTTCTTTTGTTGCTGAACAAGTTCCAAGCACCCAATACATTAAAAAAAAAAAAATCAAAACGCAGACTGGGAAAGCCAGTGAGGCAGCATGTCAGAATATGAAATGTTACATATTATTCTTTAATTTATATCCACCTGTGTAAGTACAGCAAAGTACAGACGCATAAGGTGGCCTACAGAGAGAAAGTTAATAATTGATGAGAGTTTAAAACCATTTTTCCAATACGACTACTTAAATTACTTTATGCAAACCACTGAAATCAATTTCCGCAGAAAAGTACAGAAAATTTCTGCTAGCAGTACCATTAAATGACATCTAAGTGCCCTTAGAGTATTGATCAGAAGCCCATCGACAGAAAAGTATAGTGGTAACGCTCCAGCACAAGCTCCAGAATGACTTTGCACTCATGGACAAGATACTCCTAGTTCCTGTTTTGTTTCCTGCCATCTGTTAAGAAATCCAAAACGTTACAGAATGTAACACGTTTCTGTAAAAGTTCATATCAGCCTGTAACAAAATTTGATCCTACAGAAACCTAAAACTTAGATTCTAACCCCTTCAGTGCAACCTGTGCAAGCGCACAGCAGTTCTGCATCACACAGAACGAACAGCAACAAACTGCTCTTAACATCCAAACTTCGGAAGAAAGGATAGAATTGTTTTCTTTCAGTAGTGCCTTTCAAAATTGTTCCTCATCCTGAAATGTCACAGGGTATCAAGCATGTGGCCAACAGCAGATCATGAATTTGAGTGCACTTCCACTGGGGTGGAATCACGACGTACAGAGCAGCCCAGCTACCACCCAAACCCTCTGGTTCACAGATAAGAGTCAGGTCAGGTCCAACCTTACTGCTCTGCAACCTTCTGGATACCTCGGCATGGAAAAATACAGCTCCAGGAAGGCCTATTCTTCACCCAGCTGCAGCTGCTTTTCTACCAACTCAGGCAGAAGAAAGTTTTTAGCCTGAACCCTGAGCCAAAGCCTGCCAGACTCAAAGGGGAAAGAGAGAAATACAGATACACCAAATGCCAGAGTGACAGCTGCTGTCTTGGACAGTCTTAAAAAAGAACAATCTATGAAAAACTTTTCCTAGACCTGTGTCTAAATATTATTTTGCCCATGCATCTCCTTCCCCATCACATCAGAGAGACTCACACTTGGCAGGACTTTGTAAAACAGACTGGAGAGACTGAGAAAGCAGGGCTGCAGGACCTACAGTAGTGTGGGGCTGATCAGCTTCCAAATAGGAAACGGGACACAGAGATAGGGGTACAAACACTCTCACAATAGTCTCCAAAGGTTGAGCAAAAGGAATTTAACTTAAGGTCACTAGTTTTCAGTTCAAAAACACTGTGGCATTTTAAGGATAAGCACAACCACCTTGGAAGCAACCATCTTCATGAAATGCCCGCAACGGTAGTCACACGGTGTCTTTCACAAAGACTGCTCTCAATCTAAGGCCAAAAAGAAAATTGCTGATGTAAATTAAAATAGTGTTTCTGAAACAAGAACATCTTCTATGAATTCTGATGTTTCCAGTGTAAAAGTATTTCCTTATCTAAGGCTCCTAAGGTTTGCTCTGACACCGAAACCCTTTGCTTTAGAGAGGTAGATATCGTGATTACATTTCAGTACACCCCATGGTTATTCTGTCCAGGTTAATTAAGTGTTTAGCCCACATCCTCTCTGAGAGAAGCTAACAACTTCGTGATTCAA